CTGTGGGGGTAGGAGACCTGGTAGCATACTGTGGGATTCTATAGTTGGGGGTTGGGTGGAAGCTGTGGATATGGATTGTAGTGTGTGTTGGGATAGTGTGATAGGTTGTGGGGTTCTGAGGATAGTTGTGTGTGTGCTTGCCCTTGCTGCTCTGTTCTGCTCTGACTGACCTCTGCTGGTTCCATCCTTGTCTCCTTTCCTAGCTCCTTTCACTTTTTTGTCCTCTCCCTCAGCTGCTGTCGCTCTGTTTGTGTTCTGTCTCTGTCTAGGAACACCTTCTTGTACTCTTCCAAATTTTTCAACCATGGTTTCTCTTGGAGGATCTTGTTCTGCACTGTTTCTGTCCTGAGAATCAGCTTGATCAGTCAGTTTCTCCCCTTCAAGTACCCCCCTATTCTCTGAAAATTTACAATCTCGTCCATGTCTTCTCCCCCTATTTCTGTGATGATTTTCTCAATCTCCTTTCTTTCTTCCTGCCGTCTTTCAGTGTGTGTCCTTTCCTCTCCCCCGAAGCCCATGGATAAACACTGATTTTGCCCTTTCCTCCTACCATTGCCTCTCCCTCTGTGACTCTGGTTCCTGTGTGTGTGTGTGTGTGTGTGTGTGTGTGTGTGTGTGTGTGTGTGTGTGTGTGTGTGTGTGTGTGTGTGTGTGTGTGTGTGTGTGTGTGTGTGTGTGTACTCACCTAGTTGAGGTTGCGGGGGTCGAGTCCGAGCTCCTGGCCCCGCCTCTTCACTGATCGCTACTAGGTCACTCTCCCTGAGCCGTGAGCTTTATCATACCTCTGCTTAAAGCTATGTATGGATCCTGCCTCCACTACATCGCTTCCCAAACTATTCCACTTACTGACTACTCTGTGGCTGAAGAAATACTTCCTAACATCCCTGTGATTCATCTGTGTCTTCAACTTCCAACTGTGTCCCCTTGTTACTGTGTCCAATCTCTGGAACATCCTGTCTTTGTCCACCTTGTCAATTCCTCTCAGTATTTTGTATGTCGTTATCATGTCCCCCCTATCTCTCCTGTCCTCAGTGTCGTCAGGTTGATTTCCCTTAACCTCTCCTCGTAGGACATACCTCTTAGCTCTGGGACTAGTCTTGTTGCAAACCTTTGCACTTTCTCTAGTTTCTTCACGTGCTTGGCTAGGTGTGGGTTCCAAACTGGTGCCGCATACTCCAATATGGGCCTAACGTACATGGTGTACAGGGTCCTGAATGATTCCTTATTAAGATGTCGGAATGCTGTTCTGAGGTTTGCTAGGCGCCCATATGCTGCAGCAGTTATTTGGTTGATGTGCGCTTCAGGAGATGTGCCTGGTGTTATACTCACCCCAAGATCTTTTTCCTTGAGTGAGGTTTGTAGTCTCTGACCCCCTAGACTGTACTCCGTCTGCGGCCTTCTTTGCCCTTCCCCAATCTTCATGACTTTGCACTTGGTGGGATTGAACTCCAGGAGCCAATTGCTGGACCAGGTCTGCAGCCTGTCCAGATCCCTTTGTAGTTCTGCCTGGTCTTCGATCGAGTAAATTTTCTTCTCATCAACTTCACGTCATCTGCAAACAGGGACACCTCAGAGTCTATTCCTTCCGTCATGTCGTTCACAAATACCAGAAACAGCACTGGTCCTAGGACTGACCCCTGCGGGACCCCGCTGGTCACAGGTGCCCACTCTGACACCTCGCCACGTACCATGACTCGCTGCTGTCTTCCTGACAAGTATTCCCTGATCCATTGTAGTGCCTTCCCTGTTATCCCTGCTTGGTCCTCCAGTTTTTGCACCAATCTCTTGTGTGGAACTGTGTCAAACGCCTTCTTGCAGTCCAAGAAAATGCAATCCACCCACCCCTCTCTCTCTTGTCTTACTGCTGTCACCATGTCATAGAACTCCAGTAGGTTTGTGACACAGGATTTCCCATCCCTGAAACCATGTTGGCTGCTGTTGATGAGATCGTTGCTTTCTAGGTGTTCCACCACTCTTCTCCTGATAATCTTCTCCATGATTTTGCATACTATACATGTCAGTGACACTGGTCTGTAGTTTAATGCTTCATGTCTGTCTCCTTTTTTAAAGATTGGGACTACATTTGCTGTCTTCCATGCCTCAGGCAATCTCCCTGTTTCGATAGATGTATTGACTATTGTTGTTAGGGGTACACATAGCGCCTCTGCTCCCTCTCTCAATACCCATGGGGAGATGTTATCTGGCCCCATTGCCTTTGAGGTATCTAGCTCACTCAGAAGCCTCTTCACTTCTTCCTCGGTTGTGTGCACTGTGTCCAGCACTTGGTGGTGTGCCCCACCTCTCCGTCTTTCTGGAGTCCCTTCTGTCTCCTCTGTGAACACTTCTTTGAATCTCTTGTTGAGTTCTTCACATACTTCACGGTCATTTCTTGTTGTCTCTCCTCCTTCCTTCCTTAGCCTGATTACCTGGTCCTTGACTGTTGTTTTCCTCCTGATGTGGCTGTACAACAGTTTCGGGTCAGATTTGGCTTTCGCCGCTATGTCATTTTCATATTGTCTTTGGGCCTCCCTTCTTATCTGTGCATATTCGTTTCTGGCTCTATGACTGTTCTTATTTTCCTGGGTCCTTTGCCTTCTATATTTCTTCCATTCCCTAGCACACTTGGTTTTTGCCTCCCTGCACCTTTGGGTAAACCATGGGCTCATCCTGGCTTTTTCATTATTCCTGTTACCCTTGGGTACAAACCTCTCCTCAGCCTCCTTGCATTTTGTTGCTACATATTCCATCATCTCATTAACTGGCTTCCCTGCCAGTTCTCTGTCCCACTGAACCCCGTTCAGGTAGTTCCTCATTCCTGTGTAGTCTCCTTTCTTGTAGTTTGGCTTCATTCGTCCTGGCCTTCCTGCTTCTCCCTCCACTTGTAGCTCTACTGTGTATTCGAAGCTTAAAACCACATGGTCACTGGCCCCAAGGGGTCTTTCATATGTGTTGTCCTCGATATCTGCACTACTCAAGGTGAATACTAAGTCCAGCCTTGCTGGTTCATCCTCTCCTCTCTCTCTTGTAGTGTCCCTTACGTGTTGGCACATGAAGTTTTCCAGTACCACCTCCATCATCTTAGCCCTCCATGTATCTTGGCCCCCATGTGGGTCCAAGTTCTCCCAATCGATCTCCTTGTGGTTAAAGTCACCCATGATCAGGAGCTTTGCCCTGCATGCATATGTGTGTGTGTGTGTGTGTGTGTGTGTGTGTGTGTGTGTGTGTGTGTGTGTGTGTGTGTGTGTGTGTGTGTGTGTGTGTGTGTGTGTGTGTGTGCCTGTGTGTGTGCCTGTGTGTGCGCCTGTGTGTGTGCCTGTGTGTGTGCCTGTGTGTGTGCCTGTGTGTGTGCCTGTGTGTGTGCCTGTGTGTGTGCCTGTGTGTGTGCCTGTGTGTGTGCCTGTGTGTGCACCTGTGTGTGTGTGTTTGTGTGTACTCACCTACTACCACCTTCTACCACCATCACTACCACCCTCTACCACCACCACTTTCTTATTTCTCTACAAACTTTTTCTTGAATTCTATCGTGTTTCTCACATCCTTTACATAACCCCACTCCTTTGTGGAGTGTGGTTGTGACTGTTGTTTTTAGTGACTCTAGGATGACCCATGTCCATGCTCCCTCTCCATAGAATGCTAAAGGCATGTGAAATGGGCTTCTAGCAGCTTTTGATGAACAATGAGTTCCACGAGTCTGGGCCTGGGGCATAGTGCATGGGCATGTCATTTATTGCCTTTTCAAAGTCTTGTGATGTTAGGATAATATCAGAGATTTTTTTAATTGACCGAATTCTGAGTCTGTCATAAAAAATTTATTTAGACTGTCGGCTCTTAGTCTGGTTAATGCCTCGCTAAAAACACCGAGCCACATTGGGACTTTAGTATCTTGCTCATTTCTTTGTTGTCATCTGTGTAAGTCCTATCTCATCTAAGCAGGGGTCCAATAGTGGATGTTGTTTTTGCCTTAGATTTAGCACAGAAAAATATTTTGGGCTTCTTTCTATTTCATTTTTGGCTTTAAGTTCTTCATAAGTTTTTCCCGTTTGATTCCTTAATATTTGCTATTCCTCAATATTTGCTATTTCTCTGACCAGTCCTTCCCTTTGTATTTCAGATATACTGGCTCCTTTCGGCAGTTCCATGATTCTTCACCTTCGCCTGTCTTTCTCCCTTCCAAGCTTACATCTTCTCTTCCTTTTTCTTATAGGAAGGAGCTATGAGTATACTTCAAGTGCCACAGAGTTATTTCTTTTCCGGCAAACGTTCAGATCTGTGTTGTTTAGGATATCTTCCCAGCTTGTTTCATACAGGACACGGTTGACTTGACCCACAGTATGTTGTTGTTATTGAAGTTGAATTTGGTGAAGGCACCCTCATAACTGATCACATTTTGTTGGTCAAGAGCCCTGCACATACATGTCTGTACCTCTTGTTATATTGTGATCTGAGTGTGTTGTCTTAGATACCGTTATATTTCATATCAGATCATCATTGTTAGTGAAGATGAGGTCCAGTGTATTTTCCATTCTTATTGGCTCTATTATTTGCTCGTTGAAGGTGCAGAGATTTAATAGCTCATCTGTGCATGAATTTTCATATGTGCTGCCTCCTGGGATTATCTCTGCTAAAACATTATTTGTTACATTCCTCCATTTTAGGTGTCTAAGTTGAAATCACCCAGCAGCAAGATGTTTAGGGTAAGAGTTGGGAGATTTTCCAGTGTTCAACACACTACATACCTATTTTTTTTCATCCTTTATTCTATGATTTACCTCATCCTCCACAGAACCATCTGCCAACATGTCCACCTCCAAATATAATGCATTCACTTCCTCCATACTCTTTCCCTCTAATCTGATATTCAATCTCTTATTGCCTAGACTCTCTTTGTTACTCTCATTACTTTGCTCTTTTCTATGTGGACTTTTAATTTCCCCCCTTTACCCTAGCAAATTCTACCATCAACCTTTGTAACTTCTCTTAGGGCAGAGTAAAAAACAAAATTATGTTGTACAAGTTTATTTCTGATAATCAGCATGTTTCTTGTACATTTTAGACTAATTGTCCTTTTAGACTTCGTCAGTCTCAGATAGAAAGCGGCTTTCAAATCCATGCTGAGACCATTAGTAGAAGGTTTAGACCCAGTCATCATTCTGTCTCTCATGTCTAATAACAGATGCAAATTATATATACGATAAGATCTACAATTGATAATGAGAAAGGGTATATACTGATCCTTATAAAATAATGTTACAATACATACCCAGTTATTTCAGCAAATTAAAACCCAAGAAAGAATTCCCTAATGCTGGTCCTGTTATCGTGAACTCATGATACAGTTGTTAACCTCGACTGCAGAACATGCGTAAAATATCAGCTCTTTCAAGCTCTGCATGAAGGTAATAATTTAGCGAAAAAAAAAAAACTTCAATTTCCTTCCTAAACATAATAAAGATGTTATTTCTTGAGAATTTCATAATTTTCACATGGTTAAATTTAAATAACTCGTATGATAACTAAGAAGTCCTCACAAAGAAGCCAATCTTATTTGATTGCTGTCTTGGAAAACAAAAGTCTTACTACCACCAAAGTACCTCATGTTTAGGTGTATATTATTATACTGTATAATAATCCAATTGTAGAGAGGAATCATACCTGTAATATTTTTACAAGACAAAATCATACAATATAAAATACATAATTTATATAACAAGATAAGGAGAGTAACAGTAATTAACTCTTCCCAGAGTTATACAGTCATTCTACTTCTTATTCTTACCTGTGAATTAATCATTTCACTTTGCAGATCTCATGCTCTTACACTGAGAGATTTCATTACTAATTAATGTACACAATACAATAAAAAAAAATAGTCTTTGGAATTAAAAATGCAAATAACATCTGTAGTCAGAATTACCGCAATCTAAAATATGACAATCTTTATTGCAGGTAAATAAAAACAAGAATTTTAATGCCTTTCGTAGAATACCATGGATCAGGTACAATTCTGAAAGTTTATATCAAAGCAATAAAAGAGCTTCATTCTTATCATACTGAAACTCAAAACAATTGTAAAACAAAAAAACAAAAAAAAAAAAAACAAAAAAAAAAAAATGAATTCTTAAAATTTGCCACCTGAGGAACTAAAATTATTTATTTTCTTGGTAAAATTAATGAACTACATTATCCAAAGCCCTATACTGTACAACACACTTCCACAGCCTGAATATTATAAAGGACAGAGACACCAAATGTGCGATTTAAGAGTTCATTCCCAGAAATCTTGCCAATGGTGGTTCTAGATTATGAATGAGTAACAGTTTTAATACACATTTAAAATGGTTTGAAGAAATCATTTTCCTCAGGATATAAGCAGGGCTAACATGAATATAACATATCTCTAGCTATCATTTATCAAGTTATCTGAAAAAAGTTTGTGCCAAGAACGACTGACAAGGCAGAATAAATTACAATATGGAATTTCTGTAAAGAAGGTGTCAGTCTACACAGTAACTCTCAATTATGTTTTCTACCTCTCCATTACTGCAGACACAACACAAAACAACACACAGACATATGATACACAGCATATGAAAAAGCTAATACTTTCTCCCACACGATTCCGTATATATTTGTAAAACTTTGCTAAAAATATAAGTTTCATTTAGTTTTATATTAGATGTGACAAATAACTACCGATCAATTATATTCACTGTCATGAATGCACTTATAATGAGCACTAGCACATGAGAATGCATAAGCACATGGAAAACCAAATGACATGAATTTACTACAATTATACTGTTGTTTACCTACAAACAACCCTTGAGAGACTGATTTAAAGCCTGAACGTATGCTTCATGTAATTGTCTAACAAAATCGTCTTTCTTGAGGAGTAGGGTAAATGCCTGAACCAACTGTTCCTGTGTCAGAGGAGTCACTTGCGAAGAGGTACCAATTATCCCATCATGAAGAGATTCTTGAGAGCCATTAAGCGGCCTCATATCCATTGCTACTGTAGTGCCTGGGGTTAGCAGACCGGGAAAAGTGCGTGGACCAGTAACATCAATAGGAGGGGTACCACTCATAGTCGGCTCTGAGTTTCGTGAACTTGTAAACACTTGAGGTGAAAGTAGTGAAGGCTCATTGTGAGATAGTTGCTGAGAATACGATTCATGATGTTTTTGATGCTGATTAAACTGACACATTTCTTCTTCTTTCACCTGATTTGACATTCTCAAATTATCTTTAAATCGTCCCTCTAATTCTTGTAGAGAAATAGGCGCTCCCCCTGGAACACTTGAAGATAATGATGATGGATGGTTCTGAGGTGCTGAACCAGGAATGGGAATAGGATTAGTGGCTCCTTGTTGACCTTGAACAGCTGCACCAGCAGGAATCTGCACCATGGCTTGACCACCCACAGCAGCTGCCCCTTGAAATAATTTCTGCAATACAGGATTAGTGCCTGATGATGGAGTGGCTGTAGAGACCGGGGGCCCTGAACCAGGAGAATGCAAGCCAGTACCAAGGCCAGCCTGTGCTCCTGAAACTTTGGCAAAGAAATCAGCAACAGTGTTTTGTTCCCCAGCTTGAACTCTTAGAGGTGCTGGTTTAACCAGATCATTACTTGCACTTGTAGCTGTGTTCACAATGCTACGTGGTTCCTGACGCTTGCTTTCAAACTCCCCATGAGCACGGGAGAGCATGCTCATAATGTCCCCACCAGCAGCACCAGCAACAGCAATAGCTGGATCAGCCATTATATTAGGAGCAGGTTGAGGTGCAGGTGGAGGCTCACTTTTCATATGTTCCTGAATAGCAGCTGCTATGCGCTGTACATCATCTGCTTCTGAAAACCATATTCCATATATACCACCTTTAGCATTCCTGAAGAGTAGATATGGAGGCTTTACTTGAATATCACAGGCAGATGAGAGGGGCTCAATGAAATTGGATTTATTTAGTCTGTTTATGATGGTGACCATATAATGAGGTGGGGCCAACCGAGAGTAGACCATTAGAGTCCCTTCCACATCTGTCTTGGCCCATGATTCACCACCTTGTTCATACGAGTACAATGCTGTGCGATTGGCACTGTCCATTATCTGTGCCACATGAGGATCTATCCTGCGTACAGAATTCAGTCTGATTGTCTCTCGATTCTGCTCCATGCCTGTGAAAATAAGGGAAAACTCAATGAAATTACAAGGACTAGCAATGCATTCTGCACTGATAATTTAAAGATATTTCAGTTACTTTTTTGACAGCATACAATGAGCAAAGCTGAGTTCTCCCTACATTTCAACAAGTATGGATCAGTATCAGTAGAATTACATGAAATCATACATGGCTATAATCTACCTGCATATCAATGCCTTTATAAAATGTCTTCTTTTAGTTATAAGAAAAATATTCTTCATTAAACTTGTACTGTATACAAGAGGAAAACTAAAACATGAATATGTATGCAATACATTTCCTGACAAACACTAAGTACAGCCTCTCCTCACTTAACGACAGAGTTCCGTTCCCAAGACCACATCGCTAAATGAATTCGTCGCTAAGTGAGAAGCATACTATAATGGTAGCGGGTTTGTGTCAACCATCTTTGATATTGTTTTAATGTCGCCTTTGCACCATTTATAACATTTCTGGCGTATTTTTAAATGTTTATACAGTAGTGTATTGTATATTGAAATGAACAGAATAGAGGAAATCAGCTCTAATATACATTATTTGGGTATGAATACTGGTCAGAGAGCCCGTTGTAAGTCCGAGGCATCAGTAAATAAGTATGTCACTAAGTGAGGAGAGGCTGTAGTCAAAAAGTATAGAAAAAAGCAATTCAGTGATAACAATATTAGTGTGCTTGACTTGCTGGTAATAGTCCAGACTTAAATCCAATAAAAAATGCATGACACAATATGAAGAACGACCTAAACAAGCAAAACAGAAGGCATCCTTTCCAAAATACAATACTATGTACCACAAACGATACTCCTTACCCTATACCACTCTTTAATGTATCCTCACCTCACCTATGGTATTTGTGCCTGGGGATCAACCACAGCCAACCACCTTAAGTCTTTAATAACCCAACAAAGAGCTGCTGTGCGAATGATTACCAGCTCCTGTACTAGACAGCACAACCACCACTTTTCAAAGCCTGAACTTGCTTAATATACAAGACATACACTCATACTATTGTGCCTACTACATATACAGAACATTAAATTCTACTATAAACCCTCCACTTAAACTACTCCTTGACAGTTACAACAGAATGCACAGTCACAATACAAGGCATAATGCACTCTTCAACATCCCTCGTGTCAGTCTCACACTATGCAAAAACGCTATGCACATAAAGGGCCCGAAGATACGGATCTCGCTACCGGAACTGGTAAAGGATCCCCTGACTACTTATAAATTTAGGACTTTGCTAAAAAATCATCTTATCTCTCAATACTAACCAAATCAACCAAAGCAACTGCTAATTAGTTATATTATGCGACCTTCTATTCAAGATTGATGGACTGACCACATCGACTCAAGGTTGAGGGACTGATTAGCTCATTCTCCTCCTGTTCTTCAAGTTTATCCTTTGTATGGACTGATGAAGCCACTGTGTGGCGAAACGTTTCCTCAATAAAGATACACAAGAGTTGCACATGTGTCTAATTTAACAAAGTGTCGGTTCTTTGAACCATTCATCTACAAACTTCTGCCAATCCATGAAATATTACTGCCTGAACCATTATTTGTAATATTGTTTTTATTATGTGCAACTTTAAGATTATTACTTTTATAAATCTCCACCTTGACTACCTCGCATTAGTATTATGATTAAATAAGATTGTGATACAGTTAACCACTCTTTCTTGCCTAGTTTTAAATAGTTACTATGTATTAGGATTAGTCTGCCCGAAATGCCCCAGCATGATAGTGGCTTTCTTTGTACATAGCAAACCAAAATTGTAATTACACATTGTAACCTTTACAAAGAAATAAACCTTTACCTTTATCTTCATCTAAGATACAAGTCACTATAGATAGTGATTATTTTTCATCTTTAACAGACTCCATGCCCAGGCTCGTAAATGAAGTCATCAAAGTCAAGAGGAAAATGAAAAAATATTTAAGCTAAGGTTATATAACTTTTATAGTACGCACTATACTTTTTTGGTGTTCAAATCAAATTTCTGTATAAATTAGGGTAGGGGGCAAGGTTTTTTGCCAACAATGTAGTTATGACATATATATCAATAACCAAGAAGTTAAGGTTTAGATCAATTACATCCCTCAAAAAAGCACAGACAGAGCACAATGCATGAACTTTGGCTACCTAGTGACCCAAGCTATATTCTGCCTAAATATGAAGTGCAACAAAAGATTTGATACTGTACAGTATAACCTTAAATTAATTATTTTATTTTATTTTATTTTATTGTTATTATTATTAACACATCGGCTGTGTCCCACCAAGGTAGGGAGACCCGGAAAAGAAAAACTTTCATTGTTCACTCCATCACTGTCTTGCCAGAGGCATGCTTACACTACAGTTATAAAACTGCAACATTAACACCCCTCGTTCAGAGTGCTTGCACTGTAGTACTTCCCATCTCCAGGAATCAAGTCTGGCCTGCCAGTTTCACTGAATCCCTTCATAAATGTTACCTTTCTTACACTCCAACAGCATGTCAAGTCCTAAAAACCATTTGTCTCCATTTGCTCCTATCTAACACAGTCATATACACTTGCTAAAAGTCCAAGCCCCTTGCACACCAAACCTTCTTTACCCCCTCCCTCCAACATTTCCTAGACCAACCCCTACCCCACCTTCCCTCCACTACAGATTTATACACTCTCAAAGTCATTGTATTTCATTCCAGTCTCTCTACATGTCCAAACCATCTCAATAACCCCTCCTCAGCCCTCTGAATAATAGTTTTGGTAATCCCACACCTCCTCCTAATCTCCAAACTACAAATGTTGACAGCCTTAGTATATGGTTTTTAAGTGCCTCAGTATGTTAAGAGATAAACAACAAGGTGTAGTCTTGCTACTTTAATAACAATAATAATAATAATTGTTGTCATCGTCATCATCATCAACACCACCACCACCATCACCACTATCATCACCATCATCCATTCAAATATTGTCTTCCCAGAAAAGTGTCGATATCACAACTCAGGTCAACCTCTAAAATGCAACATCCTCACCCCTCCTTCAGAGTGCAGACACTGTACTGTGCACTTCCAGGACTAAAGTGTGGCTAACCAGTTTCCCTTATCCCTTCCTAAATGTTAACTTGCTCGCACTCCAACAGCACAGCAAATCATAAAAAAAACAATGGTCTCCACTCACTCTTAACTAACATGCTCACAAATGCCTGTCTGATGTCCAAGTTCATAGCATATGAAACATCCCTTAAACTTCCCTCCAATCCTTCCTAGGACAACCCCTACCCCTCCTTTCCTCCACCCCAGATTTATATGTCCTAATCATCTTGTTTTTCTCAATCCTCTCTAAATATACAAACCATCTCAACAACCCCTCTTTTGCTTTCTGAATGATACCTTTGGTAATCCCACACCTTCTAATCTCCCAACTCCAAATTCTCTAAATAATACTCACACCACAGATTGCCCTCAGATACGATATTGCCAGTGCCTCCATGTTCCTCCTCGAAGCTAAATTTGAAAGCCATGCTTCCTACCCATAAAACAGTGTTGATACTGCTATACATTAATTTTATTATTATTATTATTATTATTATTATTATTACATATTCATATTTAATGAAAGAATTAAACACGAATGGGTTATTCACGTCCCCATGGCAATAGTCAGGCTGACAGCTGAAGGAAAGAGGATAAAGTGTGGAGGGTAAAAAAAACAGGGCAAAGTGAGGAAATTGCTGTCAGTAAACCTTACCTAATAATCTAATTTGAAATCAATTTTTCTAATTTTACAAGGCTGAACACTTCTGCTATGATAGTTAAGAAAACAAAAGGCATATGACTAAGACACTTTGTTTTTTAGAAGTGGTAGCCTTTTGCCTCTTCTCACTTTCATAATTTACAGAAACTTTAATCAGTCCTATGGCTGCAAAAAACTGCTTAGCAACATTTTAAGTCACTGGCAAAAAAGCAGCATATTCTCATAATGGCAGTATCACACCGAGTAAGAGCTTGTTCTGAGTGTCTTAAGAGTTGTTATGGTATATGTCATGCAGGGAGCAAGTACAGTACAGTATTATTATGCATCATGATAGGGAAAAATTTATTTTCTGATGAGCACCATAAACATGGTCTACATTACTAAAAACATGACATGTTTTTCTGATAATAAAGTTTTCCTTTTTTTTTTCCAAAACTATTTTCCATTTTGTCAGTTAAATACACACTCAATATATATCAGATATTTAAACATCTTGATAAAACAAAATCCAAGTGTTAGTCCAACATATGTGCAAACTGAATTTTTTTTTAGGGAATGACTATCAGAAATGAGTGAGTTATCCATTTTTCCAGAAGTTATACAGCAAATATGGAAGACACTTGAATATCTGATAATACCCATTCTTCTGGAATTTGCTATTCAGAAACTGGTATAATGCATTCTGGACAGTGGCAGCTCGTCCATAAGCCCTGAAGAGCTGCAGTCCCCCCAGATGCTCACTGCCAGACATATGACTTCATCAACCTTACACTAAAATAATTTGCAACTGACAAATATATTACAGGAAAAATATGTTGTATGTTGTTTTCAATATATTTATAACGATTTTTTTTTTTGTTGTTGAAACAAGATAAAAAAAATGATTAAAAATAGAAATCTGATGCAGTACGATAGTACGTATAGGCATTACTACCGCTAAGAGCCGCCACTGATTCTGGATACTCCCAAAATGTAGTTGGATACTCCCAAAATGTAGTATTGTGTAGTTGGCAGCTGTGAGGCACATCTTAGGAAAGGATCCCATAACAAATAAGTTTTACCACTTTGCTTTACTGGATTATCCAGGTTAATTACCCAAGGAATTCTTTTTCCACTGTGGATAATAAGTGGACTGCTCCATCAGTAATTTTAAACTGGTATGGCCAATGACTGGATGGATGACCACATGTCTACTGCCATGCTCTTGGATGGGAGAACATCAGTAAG